AGGAATGCCTCTGTATACAGTAGATGCAGTGTAGTTTGACAACAGCACAGACAAACTACAGCCTCCAAAATGATCACACAGTTGAATCAACATCTCACAAGAACAGTTTCAACAAAAACTGAACATTCATGGAGGATTTATTGCAGGACCGTTGGATTTGACTGACTTATTTTTAGATAGGTGTTTCTAATGAGCTGCCAACTGACTATATCTGTCTTTGTTGGCCAGTGCACAAATATGATTACAATCCATGTTTGTCTTCCTGGGCTACATGAAATTCAAACTGTTTGGTAACAGAAAAGCCACAGCAAAATTTATTTATGCTTTTTGTCAGTTTAGTTATGACAGCAGTGATCCATAAGAGATGGGGAACAATGGTTTAGTGTAACTTTAGCCACTGTTATCCCAAAGATAGAGGAGACAGGCCGTGAGTGTATTAAAAAAGGCTGTCGGTCACTATGGGAAGATCATGTTCCTGTCTTTGAGAGGAAGATACATTTATATCGTTTCAGCATCTGGTTAGGATGCATCTCAAACTACCTCCAAAAGGGGTTTGACTGGATATCAGTTTGTCTTGAATACTTCTTGGGTACATTCATACTTACCTTTTCTGAGGTCAGATGGCTGTCTGATTTGTCAGACACATGAAGAAACTGTGTCTGTAAATGGGTCAGAGAGAGATCCAGTCAGAGACTGGATGAGGATCTCTTTCATTTTTACTCTTCCAACAGTTAATTATCATCCATGAGTCCCATATTAGCTAATTTTATAGTGTGTACATTTGCCCACTGTATCTTTAACTTTAAATATACCACAAAGTTTACTACCAGATGTGTGTGTGTTTGTTTTCAGAGTGTCGCTGTGTCCACGGTGTGTGTGATAACCGTCCAGGCAGTGGTGGTTTGTGTCGGAGAGGATCTTGTATAGAGGGATACACTGGAGAAAACTGTGACAATACGGCCATGCCCTGCAACTCTGACGGTCTGCAGCAACACTGTCACATCCATGCTTACTGTACACACACAGGACTGCACACTGTGTAAGATGCAACTACTACTACATCTAATTTGATTCATTATTTAAAGTCCTTTTAACTTGGAGATTTGTTTTTCTTATTTTTTAACCCCTCCACTGCAACTAATGTAGTTGCATAGTTTGTCACTAACAGGCTGCTCTCATGTTCCTCTGCTGAACGAGGTGCATCTATGTTTGCCCCACTGAAATCTTTCAGACATGGACAGGCAGAGAAAATCTGTGACACCACAGACCTTACACTCAGTCATGGTTCACCTGTAAATAGCCACAGATTTCAGGAGTGTGCTGAGAAACCTGAAACCTCTAGTCTCAGAGCAGACAGAACTTCTTAGTGACCAGAAGTGGGAGCACAGGTTTTATGTGTTGACCGCAAATACACTGGGTAGAGTTTACTACTTATTTACTATTTAACATTAGTTTATATAAGAGACATATTGTTGTTGCAACATTACGCTTGGCTTCCTGTCAGTAGCCTAGCTGAGTGCTAACGGTTAGCCTGCTGCTAATAACACAGTCTCCCTGTTACTAGATTATGTTTTGGATCAACTGAGAAAACAAAAAGATACAGAGGACTTTCTGTTGATGTAATTTTGTGATGTATAAAATTTCCATTCTTGGTGTAGGGTTATGGTATGTGGTGAGGGAACGCAGGCTCATAAAAGTTCCACTCCTTTCTCTCATCTGTGTTATCTCACAGGTGGATCCTCCCACTGTCGATTGTAAATCCCATCCAAGTGTCATGGAGTCACCAATTGCTTGTAGTTTCGTTCTTCACTAATGGCTTTTAAACTAAACATAATAAAAACTTGTTCGCATTGAGACGTTCCTGGAATGTTAAATGTGGATAAGGTCTGGCAGACCAAAGATCTGACTGATCCCGTTATCTTGGAGGTCCTGCTTTGGTTTTGGGGTGTGTGAGGTGCTGACTGGCATGTGGCCTTTGTTCCATCTCCAATCCTACACCCACATGTCTGCTGCTAGCTGTTGTCCACTGGTTATGGATCACCAGTTGTACTGTGAGCTGAAACCCCACCCTGATTCTTTTTAAACGATTTAAAGGAGGATTCCCAAATTCTTCAGTGGTTCTCTGCAAAATAAACAGAATTTATCAGGAGGGGTTCGGGAGCCTGCGTCACTCCTCCATTACCTCAACAGCTGCTGAGTTTGTTCAACATATAATTACTGTGTGTGTGTGTGTGTGTGTGTGTATGTGTGTGTTGCACCAGGTGTGTGTGTAGGGATGGATATGAGGGCGATGGTCACTCCTGTTCTCCTATAAACCCCTGCCTGAAGAGTAACCGAGGAGGCTGCCACACTAATGTAAGACTGTTGTTATGTGTGTGTGCAAATGTTGTCTAACTGGTTCTTACTATTTTAGATACCCTCCCCCCCTTTTATTAATCTGCAAACCCCTCTCCCCAACTCCTCTCCCCAGTATTTCAAAATAATAAGAGCACTATTCGCTTGGTACGAATCTTCTCATCATTAACCAATAATAATAAAATAGAAATAGTGTAATCCTGTTTTCTCCCATGCTGATGTCATAATGAATCTGGCCACCCAGTAGACATCTGCTCAAAACATCAGTGGTCATTGTGTCTGGAATCAGCTCTGTTCATACATCAGCAAAATCACATAGCACTGATTAACTCACAGGTTTTGTGCTGTGGGTCATCATCAAAGGATTTAATATTTAAACTTGGTTTACCCTACTGTCTCTTTTTAATACATGTTGTATATCTGCACTATTGGTTGTTTCTGTTCATTGTCATCAGTGCCAGCTTGATTGTTTTAAGGCCTGCATGCAAACCAGATTTCCCCTGGTATAAATAAAGCTGAAGTTCAGTCTCTCTCTCCCTCTCTCTCTTTCTGTAGGCAGAGTGCGTTTATGTGGGTCCAGGTAATGTGTCGTGTGTGTGTGCCGGGGGTTGGACAGGTGACGGCAAAATGTGTGTGGAGATTAACAATTGCCTGCTGGAGAGTCCAAGACCCTGCAGCCCCAACGCTGACTGTTACTACGTTGGACCCGGATCGGTCTGTTACTAACAGCTGAAGATGGATGATAAGCTGTTATTAACAGTTACTAATAATATTTAGACTATCTGTTCCCTCCCAGTCCTCCCTGCCTTTCTAAAGGGCAACAGACACTGGCAGCTTTGTTTTCACTTTTCTGTCCCACACTTGTTTTAACAGATGTCCCAGCCCATGTCAGCTCAGAGAAACTGCCACACTACTCCTCGACTATCGAGCCCTTTTCAGACATTGCCGGCTTCATCAATCTGTTAAAGTGACGGCTTTCATAGCACTTTTACATTAATGTTCCTAACTAGGGATACACCAGTTCATTGGCGGAGATTGGACATGGTCAGTTAAAGTGTGATTGGCCGGTGGTCACTCTGAGATATCCGATTGACCAGAGGGATCATTCTGAAATGAATTAATGATTAATGAATTGATTAATGAAAAAGAGTACATGTCTGAAAGGTGCTTTAGTCTCTTCTCTCTTTTTTTAATCTCCTACTGTGAATATAATGAATTCAGAAGTTTCTAATCAGCTGCCTGACTGTACATATTGTAAAAGACTGTTGAGAACTGTTTATCTGTTTGTCTGCAGAGTCGGTGTGAGTGTAAAAAAGGTTATATGGGTAACGGGATCGTGTGTGACCTCATCAACCCCTGCCTCACAAATAACGGAGGCTGCCATGACCTGGTACATGCACACACATGGAAAGTATTTACTAACTTGAAATTCGCCATCTCTAACAGCACATCGGCACAACTTTCTAAATAAGCTTCAGTGTTAATTAAATTACTTTAAATGCTTACCTCTGAATCCAAACAAACATAAACACAGAGTAAGACCTCTGTTGCTGAGATTTCTGCCTCCACCATAATAGTGGTGGACGGCTTGTGGTGCTAATAACACCAGAAGAATCATAGTGTAAACAATGTCCTGATCTGCTCTCTGTAGAGATAAATACACTGAACAGTCGTATAAATGCAACACTTTTGTGTTTGCCCCCATTTCTCTAAAATGTGCAGCCTAAGGCACACCTGTGCAATAATCATGCTGTCTAATCAGCATCTTCATATGCCACACCTGTGCGGTGGATGGATTATCTCGGCAAAGGAGAAGTGCTCTCTAACAATATTTGAGAGAAATAGGTCTTTTGTGTACATAGAAAAAGTCGTAGATCTTTGAGTTCAGCTTATGAAAAATGGGGGCAAACACAAAAGTGTTGCATTTATAAATGACTGTTCAGTGTAGTTTATGGTCATCCACTGTTAAATAGGAGTTTTCAACTTTTAAAGAGAAAATGTGGTGAAGCTTTTAAAATGGCATTTTCAGACTTTCACTACAACTTCGGCTTCTTTTCCATGTGAAGTCTGGGTGTCCAATGTGCTTATTTGTGTTATGAGTGACAACTTCTCCATAGAGAGAGAATTGGCCACTGTTGTACCACTACTGTGGTAGGTTTTGTCATCCCTGTCTGTTGTACTCTGTCAGGCGAAGTGTGAGCTGAAAGAGGCCGACACTCACACCTGTACCTGTCCTGATGGCTACATGGGAAATGGAGTCACCTGCTATGGCTCCTTACTGGATGTAAATATTCAGACCTCATTAGAAGTGACATGCTGATTCGTCTCCAGTGCAAAGTTTGACTAAATACCATAATAACTGTGTGTGTGTGTGTGTGTGTGTGTGTGTGTGTGTATACATTTGTAGGAGCTGGACATGAACCCAAAGTTCTTCAGCTTCTTCCAGTTGATGCAGGTGTGTAAGAACTAACTTGGATGGTTACTGTACTTCATAGTGTAACTGCTACACAACGTTCAGACTGAATTTATCTTGGTGACTGAACTAACTTCAGCTCTTTCCGGTTATTAATAAAAGGATCTAGTCTTAAACAGCTGAAACAGCCTGCTGGCATGGAACTGTTATAAATATTGAGAAAGTAGTAATCTGGCTGGTAAGAGGACTCTGAGAATAACATATTTATGTGTATTTGTGCTGTTAGAAGTACAATCACTTCTCTGAGGACCTGAGTGGGAACCTCACAGTGTTGGTTCCGTCCAGAGAAGCTCTGAAGAACATAACTTCTGCTCAGGTCTCGTTCTGGGCCAGCCGACACCACCTGCCTCACTTCCTGCGGTGACTTACCTCCTCACTTTGATCACAACACTGTAACACACACAGACACACTCTTCACCTTTAGAACATTTGACTCGATAGATCACAGATCCTTCATCCACTATCTCTCCGGAGCCTGTTGTGAATTTGTGTTCCTTGAAATGAGTCACAACTATTTTGTGTCCTCTGGTTGCAGGGCCCACTACCTACCAGGACACTACGCTGTAGAAGATCTGGAAAGACTGGTGGGCAGCAGGGTGCAGACCCTGCACCCCCCCACCTCCTGGGAAATCAGCAGCAGCAGCATGGTAAGAGTGGGGTGATTGCGACGACTGGTCAGTTTTGTGTTGAAAATTCTCCATGTTTAAACAGCATCTAGGTACTCGTGGGGTGGGGAGGAAGTCGGTGGGTGTGTGCAGACCCGATGCCCATGATTGGTTAAATGTCAGCATCTTCACACATCAGCTATTAGCATTACAAGCACATGTGACACATCCTCTGTTCAGGTGTGTGTGTGTGAGCACAGCTTTGCCCTCGTCTGAACAGAAACAGACAAGGAAAAAAAATACATCGTAAAGTAAAGCTGATTGGTCCACATCAGCCCTTGAGGCTATGCTGGGTTGACAGATTTGGAAAGTATGGGGTGTACTGCTTGTTAGGTTCAGTGAAAACGCAGCTGTAGTTAACTGTTGTTTTTTTACCAGGCGATTCGCATCGGAAACGCCTCCATCCTCACCCCCAACCTGCTTGCAATCAATGGCTACTTGCACATCATAGACCAGGTAAGAGGCAGCGCCTTATCAGCCAGCAAGTCGAGAAGAGCGAACGACATGATGGTGATTTAACTATTTTTGGACTTACAAGTAAAAGAGCTACGTTGTCATAATAGTGGTGCTACAGGAAAGATCACTAGATTGTTGAATGGTAACATCCACAGTAACTTGAGTCATGTTTAAAACAACTTTATTGTTAAAGCCCAAGTGAAAGTGCATTAATTGTCCTGATTTATGAATGAATAGTAATCTGTGTGTGAGGTATCATTTTGAGAGGGTTTTGATCAAACTCTGCAGGAATTTGGGTTGGTTACTCAAAATTGGTAGATCAGGAGGTGGATGACGAGGGGGAAATGACTAAAATGGACCTCACACACAATATAAAATAGACAGTTTGAGGGTCTTTTGTGGGTAAAGTGAATGGCCTTTCTGTCCCCAGCAAATGTCTAATGAACTGAGCTCTGTGTGTTTGTTTATTCGTTTGTCTTTCTGGGTTTGGTCAGGTTCTTGCCCCATCCATCTCGGATCTTCCCACTGAGCCCCCCACCCTAATGGCCTTCCTGAACACCACCAACAATTTCACTCTGTTCAGACAGTACGCTCTGGTGAGATATGTTTATCTGTCATGTTTTAATGCATGTGTGTGTTTAGGCTTAATGTTTTTATTTTCTTAGGGTAACTTTTTTTATATTTTCATGTTATATTTGAGTCAGTGCCACAAATGGCTCCCTCGGTTCTGTACCAGAGTCAAATTCCTTGTGTGTACCATAAGTTAAAATCTGTGCTTTCTCACAGATGTACAACCTGTCAGAGAATTTGGGTGTGTTGGATTTCACCATCCTGCTGCCAACAGACGATGCCATCAGGCAGCACCTCAGCAGGACTAACTCCTCCCTCCTGGTGGGTCCTAATGATGTGAGCCAGTGCATAGACTGCAACTGATCTGGAAACATCATTATCATGACATCCAGCATGTTATTCTCGCTGACACCGCTCCCTCTCCTCATTCACCTCATTCAACCCCTCCTTCTGCCTCATCCTGTCATGCCGTCACTGTACCTTTTATACAGAATGGTGGAAAACCACAGTAAAACTCCTGAATTGGATGGGCAGCGTAAAAGGGGGGCTAGTGAACACAACAGCAGATAGCAAATCAGAGATGTGGGTGATGATTTTCAATAAACCAGAATGATGCTTTAACCCTCTTCTCCCTGTTTATCTCTATGTGTATCTCTGTATTTCTCTGTCCAGGAATCTGATGTGTTCAATTACCATGTAGTTCCCAATGAGCTGCTGTTCCCGGACCGCCTGGGTGATGTCATGTTGAAAAGCACTCTGCTCGGAAGAGACTACCAGGTCCAGTTCCACTTAAACAACAACAACCAGGTAACAATAACTGGACCAATCGTAAGCATCGTAGTCCTGAGGCCAACTTTCCAAAGCTTTCTCACACAAGATCATTGAAGATTTGTGTGTTAGTTTAAGGACCACGCTGCTGCTTTTGATTTGTTATCAGTTGATTAATTTCCTTCCTTTGAGGCAGCCATAGGTTTCAGTTCAATTTTTTCTGTATGTGAGCCATCCCTCAATTTTCAGACACAATAATGAGCAAAGTATTTTGGTATGTACACCTACTAGCACAATTTGCTGACCTAACAGTTTACATATAATGTTCCAGGAGTTGTTCAGCAGCGGAAATCAAACATTCTGTACACACACAGCCTCACAACAACAAACATAATATACAAATAGAGGCAAACATAACCCAAATGAAAGAAAATCTACATATGCTTCCATTTATACTAGTTAAGGCATATTGTATAAAGTATAATATGAAGTTTTAGTCATCTTTTCTCCTACTGCGTATTTAGAAAGCATAAAAACATTATCAAACAGGTATCCCCATCGTGTTGTGTTAATCGGTCCCAGTCATTTAAACAACTTTTTGTGGTAAGTTATTTTTTGTGTAACTTGCAGTTTCATTTTTAAATATTTCCCTGGTGGTGTGTTCAGGGATCTTTTGACATCTGAAATCTGCCAATCAGCAAAATTAATACAAGAAACAAATTGCTCACATAGCCTTTTCTTTCACGCCAGCACTTTGAGACAGTAATCCATGCATTTATTACATCACGCTTGGATTACTGTAACGCTCTTTATGTCGGAGTCAGCCAGTCATCACTGGCTCGTCTACAATTGGTTCAGAATGCGGCTGCCCGTCTCTTGGCTGGGGTGCATTCAAGGGAGCATATAACTCCTATTTTGGCATCCCTTCATTGGTTTCCAGTGTCTTTCAGGATTCATTTTAAGATTCTTTTATTTGTTTTTAAGTCTTTGAATGGTCTTGCTCCATTGTATCTTGCTGAGCTTTTATTTCCTTATAGTCCCTCCCGGTGCCTCAGATCAGCTGACCAGCTCTTGCTGGAGGTACCGAGGGCCAGGCATAAACTCATAGTTTTGTTAGTATAGTATTTTGTTATTTCGCTATGTTGGTTCTTTTATGTTATTTTATTGGTATTTTAATATTGTAGTTGTCATGTTTTTAGATGTTTTGAATTGTATCTTATGTTAAGCACTTTGTTGGCCTCGGCTGTGTTAAAGTGCTTTATAAATAAAGTTGAGTTGAGTACATTGCTTTTTAAAAATATACTGTATATAGTATATATCTGCTTATCATTTATCTTCTGGGTTTGATTTCATGACAGTGATTGTCAATAAAATTCTTCTTCAGCAGAATAAAGGCTTGAAAATTGTTGCTCACAGCTGGACTATCAGGGGATGACAGAAAATTTTATCTTCCTAAATTTTGACTGTCATGGATTATCTCTGGTTTCAAGCAGGTTTCAAGCCTCTGAAAGGTAATTTAATTGAAATTATTTGAGACCACTGACTCACCTGGAGAGAAGAAAATTTATCTAAAAACTGATGGGATGATTTGGAAGATGATGCACTTTTTTGTGAAGAATAAAATATTTGCAACTAATGTGCTAAAACATGCAAGCACACCAGGTTGGTCTTTTGATGATGTGTACTTGTAGATCTTTAAAATAATACAAAAAAACTGCACACAGAGCTTCCATAAGCTTCCATCAGTGTAACTGATGTTTCAACCACAGCTGGTATTTTTCAAGATCTTATGATGTGGCATGTTGCCATGACCAGCTCTGCTCTTCCTCTTGATTCTATGTGGAAATCTTTACCAACCAAGCAGAGTTACTAGTTTTTCCTCCTCTCATCCTACAGACAGTTGTGAATGATGTTCCTCTTGACGGCAGTTTCATTGAGACGCAGTACGGAGTCATCATGGTTCTCCCTCAGGTCCTCAAAGTTCGCCACAACAGATGTAGCAAGCAGGTCTTCCTGCAAAAAAATGTAAGAATGGATTGAGTCATGGGTGGATGAATGAAAGGCTGTGAATTAATAAATGGAAAGCAGCATAGATGGACGAATGAATGGATGGGTGGACAAAAAGATAAGCGAGTGGACTGACAGGTTGATTGATGTGTGTCCCAGTTATTCCTGCCCCTCTCCCTCTCTCTCGCTGTCTCCAGGGAAGGTGTTCAGACTGTGATGGACCACCTCGCTGTCTCTTGAACTATGCACCAGTAAGAAAGCTGTTAAATTTTTAGGGGGTCGACGCCATAAAATGAACACCTGTGCAACATTATACAAAAACTCAACCTCCAGCCTCAGAAGGGACCTCAGAATCTAATCTACTGTCATATGCTTACAAAATGAGGATTGAGAGCAGTAGATTAGATTTAATCGCACTGTGTTGTACAGGTGCTGATGGTCTTACTTGCACAGCACACAGTTGAGTTGTGAATTTACTATTGAGCAAGTCCATTACTTGTATGTCAGGATTAGGAGTGAATGGGCACCCCAGTGGCTGAACGGTTACAGAGCTGCGCACCATGTACACATTCACAGTGTGTGCATTGTTGGCAGTTTGAGTCCGACCGCTGACATTTATTGCAGGTCTCCCCCTTTCTCTGTGTCTCCTTTGTTTCCTGTCCACCTCTCCATGACCCACTAGCTAATAAAGGCAGAATGTGCCTGAAAAAAATACTTAAAAAAGATTTAAAGGGGTAACAGTTCTGAAATTGAAATGTGTCCACTGTCTTGATGCAGGTACAGGCTGTTGCGCTCTCATTACGTTACTAAAGTAACAAAATATATTTTTTATTTCACATTGTAACACATGTAAATCACAAAATGATTATTCTATTTAAAGTTAGGGCAAAAACGATACCAAAAACAAAGTGTAAACCAAAATGTGGATTTGGAGAATTGTTGCGCCCTTAGTCAGAATGGAGCTTATTTACGTGCAGCCCTCAATCTGTCTCACTCATTCGATAGGTTCCTGTGTTTTCTTACAGCTCTCAGTTTGGGTTTCAGCTGTTGTTTCTTACGTGTTCTACTGCAGATCAAGAAACGATTTCCAGCCAACATGGTGCCTAACTGTAGATACAGGAAGCGGGTTGGATCCAGGAGGAAGTCAGTGCAAGGCTGTGTCATCAAATGTCTTCAGCCTACCATGGTTTGCTGATACTACTCCTAGGACTTAAGTTCTACTTTTCTTGTTACCAGTACCTAAACTAGTGCTAGTATTATTGCTCTGACTGCAAATACTACTACTATACTAATGCCTGCTATGGGTAGCTGGCGTTCTACTGGTAGTGGCAGTAGTTAGTACTAGCTGCTACGATACTACTTCTGCTAATACTATACTAAAACTTCTTTTAGACATACATCTCTTTACATAAATACAGTAGCAAAAATAACTCCCACATCACTTTTATTTAAATGTGGTCACCATAATCTTACTAGGTCAAACCTAAAATTTTTAAAACACCAACACGCATTGTAAATTTTAAGACAAACTTAATTGAATTAAATGTGTCACTCACATTAATGTAAATGCTATGGTGGCAGACATTAAATACACATCTTGTACTTGTTATCAGACAGTGTAGAAAATCTTAATGCGCCTTTAACAAGCTGATGATGTTAAGCGATGATGATGATGATGATAATAATAATGACACGTCTGTCCTGCAGGATCAGTCTTGTTGCCCTGGTTACTACGGCCACGAGTGCTTCAAATGCCCCGGAGATGTCGGCAGCTGGTGCTCCAATCACGGGGAGTGTCAGGATGGTAACCATGGCAATGGGGAGTGCCATTGCTACGAGGGTTTCCATGGTACCGCATGCGAGGACTGTGAGCCTGGACGATACGGAGTTAACTGCACCGCAATGGAGCGACACACACACACACACACACACACACACTTCCTGACAGAAATACAACTGAACACACAAACGTTGTTTGGCATGATGTGTTTCAGCCACCAGGGGGTGTTACTTAATCCATCCATCCATTATCTATACTGCTTATTCCTGAATAGGGTCACAGGGTGTTACTTAATCAAACTGACCAAAACACAGACTTGCTAAAGCATTATCAGAACCTCATGAAAGCTATAGGTGTTGAATTCTGAAAAAAAATTGTTCTTTTAATCTTTAAGACAATTTTATTGCCCGGTGCACTAGTAATCATGATTTGGCTTAAAATGTGTTGCTGCTTTTCAGACTGCCTGATAGTGGATACTAAAGCCATCTGTATGAAGTCCTAGAAAATGCAGGAAAAAGAAAATGAATCAGGGTAACATTATGTGAAAGAGGACATGCAACAGAGGAGCAAACAAAGCTCAGCTGCCTGAGATGGGCAATTGTGTAATTAGCAATAGAGGTAATGTTAGCATGAGCAAAACCACAAGCATTTAACAGAGTTTGAAACCAATGGACTTGGTATGTCACAGATTCAGGTGTTGTTTATGAAGTTTGCACTGTCACTGGAATGTGCTGAACTGGTTCCTGTATGTCTCTTCTCTGCCTGAAATGTCATACGCAAAACTGAGTGCATAAGTAATGACTGTTGGTCAACACACCTGAGAGATGAACAAACCCAAGTGGCTAACCAACTTGCAATACTAAAAATAAAACATAGCCAGACTGACTATTATGCTAATACGGTTGTGAGGCTAAAAATCTTAACTGAAAGCAGCTAAGAAACCTGCAATAATAAACCTGGAATGCTAACAAATTGGCAAGACTAGCAAACCTTCAATGCTAACATGCTGGTAAGGCTAACAAACCGCAAGACTAACAAATGTACAATGCCAAAACCCTTGTAACACTAACAAACTCACAAGGCTAATGAAGCTACAATTCCAGCAAACCTTCAAGGCTGACAAACCTGAGAAACCACATACGATGCTAACAAAGCTATGATGCCAATATGTTTGAAAGGCTAAAAATATTACAAGCCTAACAAACCAGTGAAAGCTGTGATGCTAACAAACTACACAAACCAACTTACAGCTTCCACAAAACTATGCCGCCAATAATCAACAAAGCTATGACGCTTTTGGATGATAAGAAGCTGTAGCTTCATCTCTGAGGGAATGTGTCATATTTTTAACGTAACAGATTAAGCCACTGAGAAAGCAATGTTGTCACAGTTTAATCTTTGCATCTGTGTTGCAGAGTGTGTGTGTGACCATGGGAAATGTGAGGACGGTCTGGCAGGAAGTGGCAGGTGTGTGTGTTACAAGGGTTGGAAAGGAGCCTCCTGCTCTGTAGGTAAGACACATAGAAATACACAGAGACATTGTAACCACACTTGATATAATTTCTCTAATCTATTATCACCTGAAATCTTTGTGTGTGTCTCAGAGATCAAGGATGATGCCTGTGGAGGTGTGTGTGACGAGAATGCCAAGTAAGTCTTCCTGTTGTTGTGTGCACAGCTATATTGTCTATCTGAATCGAAAACCACTGCATTTTGGAGGAGCTGCAAATTTACCCAAAAAAATCAAAACAGCCAACCTGGCTGTCTGACACCACTGACTAATTACCATTGCACGTATTTTGTGTGTTGGACAAATACAGTATCTAATGACAATTATTATACCTAATATTACAGACTCAAATTATCTTGCAAAAGGGTCAAAGCCATGGTCCTCAGCTTGTGGACCAAGACACTTTAAGCAGCAAATGCAGAAATATAATAAAAATATATAAAAATATAATAAGAGAATGTATGCTGCATGGGAGCAGCATGTGCAACAAAAGCAAAAGTAATGCAACAAAGTCATGATGTCATTGTTGGGCACTGTGCAACAAAAAAGTGTTAACTGTTTAACAAAAAATGAGAATTGAGCACTTTGTCCTTTTCTGCAGCTGTATAACAGGGCCACAGGGATCTGCTGCAGCCTGTGTGTGTGTAGCTGGATATGAAGGCAATGGCACCTACTGCAATGGTACACACACACACACACACACACACACATTTTACATAAATTTCCTGGGGACCTGCCAGTAGCCTCATTTCTAACCACTACTTACTTAAACTTAACCTAACCCTAAGTCATCACTATAAGGCCAAGTGAGAGGGGACCTCACTGCAGACAAGATGGCAGATTGCAACCAAGTTCTGCGAACCATCAACCTCGCCTGGAAGATGTCAGTTTATTCTGGAAGTCAGGTTACAGTAAGGCTACAGTTAATGTTAACTCATTCCCCTAATCCCATCTTTAACTCTACCTGCAGCTGTAAACCTGCTGAGGTGAATTCTGGCTAATATCCCACTGAGGTTAGCAGTTTGCCATCATGTCTTTAACCAGGTACTCTCGGGCTGAGGTCCCACAACGTGTGTAAACAGGTTTCAGTCACTTCAGAGGACTTGACATCAACTTAGATTAATTTCCTGGAGACTGTCGCTAACCTTAACAATAACCCCTACTTGCCTCAACCTAACATTTAACCACAACTAAATGTCTACCCCAACACTTATCCAAATCTGAACCTAAACCTGATTCTGACCTTACCCCTAAAACCAAGGCTTAACACTCAAACCCTTTGAAGGTGTGAGGACTGCCTAAAATGTCTTCACTTTCCCAACATGTCCTCACTTTGGTCTCAAACCGGTCCTCTCAATGTACAGCCATACCAGTACACATGTTATCTCACTGTCTCACATGTGACTGTTTTCCTTCTCTCTCAGAGCTGGACTTGTGCAGCAGGTCTAATGGTGGATGTTCAGGGTTTGCCACCTGTATGAAGGTCTCAGCAGGGCAAAGGACCTGTACCTGTCTAAAGGGTTACACTGGAGATGGGGTCGTCTGCCTGGGTTTGTAGTCCTGACCTTTGACCTCTGACTCCACACCCCAAGCCTGAAGCCACTTACCAACACCTGGAAAACCCTTCAAATATGTGAAATTTTCTGAAATTAAGCCCTTAAAAGGTCCTAAATATGTTTCAAGGGTTTAATTTCAGTTAGCACAAAGACTGTAAACAGGAAACTGCTAGCCTGGCCCCATCAAAGAAAAACAACACACCTTCTAACAACACTAAACACGTCTGATTTACATGTTTTATATGTCAGAAAATTTTATTTATATCCTGGTGTGTGTGTTCACAGAGGTTGATGGCTGCCTGGTCAACAATGGAGGCTGCCACCCGTCAGCAAACTGCTTCAGAACAGGCCCCAACACTGTAAGACATAACGTACTGCAGTAGAATGTCAGATTTATTTGGTGCATAATGTAAGAGTTTCAGGAGGGTCTCATTTTAGTGAGGCCCAAATAGCATCTTCAGTTTATTTTTCTTTTTTTTTTTACAATCTTGTTATTTTTATCGGGTTCGTCATCATTCC